GGTTAAAGTATTCTTGATATATGAATGTAAGTAATCTCTTATTTATTCTTATTTTATTGAGAAATGGTAACTTAGCCTTAAATTTTACAAAACCTTTTTGTTAAATACATTGTATTTCTGTAACAAAAAAGTGTTGAAGCAATTTATATTCTAACCAGTATTGTAGGAATATTCCTATCTCACTGAATTTTCACTTATATTGAGTATGATCATTTTTAAAATGTTTTAAATTTTTTATACCAGAAATGATATTACATTGTTGTTTTTTGCTTCCTTTTAAAAGTCATTAAGATTGTTGGATGAAGAAGAAGCAACTGACAATGATTTAAGAGCAAAATTCAAGGAACGATGGCAAAGGACGCCATCCAATGAACTCTATAAGCCTTTGAGAGCAGGTAAAAATGTGTGTATATGACCTTCACCCAATTAATTCCCAATTTGGATCTACGTTTTTTTGCTTGATTAAATTAGGCTCAGTTGTAAACTCATTTTTACTGAGACTGTGCACTATTATGAAAACCCAGGTGTTTTTTCCTCAGTCTAATATAAAGATTTAAAAAAAGTAACAAAAGTAATTGGCACTCATTGTAAGAAATTCAGATTCTTAAGAAGAGTATGAAGTGAAAATTAAAATTGTCCTCTAACTCTCATTTTCTATTCTAAGCCCTATGCATGTTTTAAAATATAAATGAGATCATATTGTATGTATAATTTTATAATTTCTTTTCACTTACCTGGAAGGTAAAAAATAGGCTTTAACAGTTACTTTGAAGCCAAATTTATGCTTTTAAAGACTTTGATTGTAAAGATTTTGTGTTTGTTAACACAAATGCTGTCTTCATGGTGGCAGGAGACTCGTTTTATTTATCTCTGTAAAAGGAATATATACTAATTAGATTTTTCTAAAAAATATATACTTTTAAAATAAGTTGTACCAATTTTTGGAGTGTAGATTTCTTTCTATATTCATGAGTTATAGGAAAAGATTAGACTAATGTCAATTAGCTTTTATTTGGCAGATAGTAACCACCAAATACATTTTAAGGTATAGCTGTGCTTTTGATTTTATAAATGATTTTGTAATTTTTCCAAAAACAAAAATGCAAAGACTGGGACTGAGTTTTTATTACCAAGTGAATTGGGGCTTGTAGAGGGGAAGTTAAGTGTTAAGTTGGGGATCAGAACTAGAAGTACAACCATAATAAACATAAACATTGCCATTAGAGTCACTTCTGTGCTCTGGAAACTCTTATTTTCTCCCAGAGGGAAACAACTTCAGAGGAGTTTTAGATAAAGCTATGCAAGCAGATGGACAAGTGAAAGAACGTTACCAGTCTCATCGTGACACCATTGCACTTCTGTGTAAGCCAGAGCCTGAGCTGAATGCCGCCATCCCTTCTGCTAACCCAGCAAAGACCATGCAGGGCAGTGAGGTGAGAAGGTGCATTTTGATGTGGGTGGTCATCTCTTTATGGAAACAATGTTCAAGCCATTACTTACAATGAACTGCTGATTTTTTCTTGGCATCTTTAAAAAATGCAGAAGTATATTGGGGTTGTTATAACTAGTATATGTTCTGTGGAATAGGTAATCATACTAATATTACTATCCTGTAATTTCCATTTATTGAATGCCTTTTATGAGCTGGGTACTAAATTCTAGATAATTCATGTCTTCATATATTCAGAGTAATTCAGGTTTTATAAAAGGTAGAATCTTGGAATCATGATAACTTCCATTAAGTGAAAGGACTGGGTTTGACCAGATACACATATTCTTTGTTTCTTACCTCCTTCTATATTGCCTTCCACCATATTCCACTGGGGCTATCTTTGAAGGGAAAATTGACAAGATGTTCATGTTAATAAATGGATAACATCATCATGGTATTTCTAATGATGACAAGATGGAGAACATAAAATATTAGGACATCTGATTTGTAAAGTCCTTAAAAGAAGAGAAAGTGCAAGTATAATTTAATGGCCTATCACCGTGAGGTGGGTAATGTAGTAGGATAAGATAGAGGTCCCAAAGTGCACAGGAAAATAAGCTGAAGGGCAAGAAATACTTCTTTGAAAAAGGTGAATTCAGTTAACATATGAATCATACATAACCTTTATCATGAATTTACGGTCCAGTTTAGAAGATTAGTCATGGAGAAGGATAACTGGTAGAAGTTTAAAGGTGTCATAGGGAAAGTATGGAAAATATGCTGTGAGGATTTAGATGAAGTACTTACGTTTCAGTAATTTGGAGCTTTTCTTTTAGGAGGCTTCTTAAGAAATTGGCACATCATGTAGAACAGAGTGGCTAGGCAGAAAAAATGAAAACATATATATGTATATGTGTGTATATATATGTGTGCGTGTGTGTGTGTGTGTGTGTGTGTATGTGTATACACATACAGGATCTGAGAAGGGCTGAGTTGATATGTCCAGAGGGCCTTAAGAAACCAGCCATCAATGCTGGGCAGCTCCCAGGGAGAAGAGAAGACTACATAGTTGAATGTACACAGAGCTTGAATCTAAAGGGGGAACCCCAGTAGAACAAGGAATATCAATTAGATGCTTGGAGGACACGGGGGAGAAAAGGGTGGTGGTCGGAAGGTTAATATTTGAAGAACAAATAACTCAAGAGACTACAGACCCAGGGAACAGCAGTAAATTCTGGTACTTTTTTTTTTTTTTTTTTGAGATAGGGTCTTGCTCTCTTTCCCAGGCTAGAGTACAGTGGCATAGTCATAGCTTGTTGCAACTCCCAGTTTCCAGTGATCCTCCTGGCTCAGCCTCCCAAGCAGCTGGGACTACATCTTTTTTATTTTAGAAAAAGATCTTTGTTTAGTATCCCCTCTTTGTTCTTTTTGGTGACTTGTACATGACTCAGAATTTATATGGCTTCTGTCCTTTGAGTTGTCTCCTTTCAGTAGAAAGGCAAAATGGTTTATGCCAAGCAAAAGTTGAATTAATATACATCAATTTGTTGATATTTTATTCAGTTGTAATAGATGCTTTTTTTAATCCTTCATGGTATTACACAGGGGAAAAGAACTTTTATAGTCAATATGAAGTAATTTTATTGAAGCTGATTTTCTTGACAGGTAACCGAAGAATTTTCAGTACTCTATATTCATTCATCATGTGCCTTTATCAAATAAGGATAGCATCATATATTTATCAAAGCTATTTCAGATGGTTGTCATAGTAGTTGACAACACATTTTAGCCAGAGTTCTTATGATAAAAACTCAGTCATTTGAATTGCTAATTATTTAAGTGATATAATGTACATGTTTTATTAAGAGGTCCAGGCTTAATGGTAGGGCTGTTTTTTTCTTGTGTTGTAAAGAAGCCTACTGTCTGGTTATTTATCTTCAGTCTATTTGGGCATTTGTTTTTTTAGATATTGAGATGCTCTGAAAAAATTTGCAGACTGTTGGTAGTTTGTATATAAAGATCTTTATATGAAATACCACTGCTTGTGATTGTGTGCCTAGGATCCACTGGGGTCTGAAATCTAGTCTGTGGTTGGAGAAAAAAACCTTTATCTCCTTAGTGCATAAAGAGAACTGTCCAAAACTGTGTGCCATCCCAGAGGAGGTGCTTTTTTCTGATTCATAGACTAATGGAGAATCTGTAAATACAGCTTTTATTCTTGATCTTTCATAACAGATAGTTTATATACAAGTGTTGAGAATGGCTAGAATCTGTTCATTTGTTGTTCACCAAACATTTGTTGAAGGTCTATTATATACCAAGAACTGTGTTAAACACTGTGGTCCCGAATACAGAGAGGTGGAAAAACCTCTCTAGATTAACTTTGGTGTGGAGTAAATACATGAGATTCCTGTTTTCTGTTGCTGTAGAGATATTCTCTTATTTACCTTTTCCGAAAATAAAATGACTAGATTTGGGCTAGGCAAGGTGGCTCATGCCTGTAATCCTAGCACTCTGGGAGGCCGAAGTGGAAGATTGCTTGAGGTCAAGAGTTTGAAACAAGCCTGACCCCATCTCTACCAAAAATAGAAAAAAATGGCTGGGCATGGTGGTGTGTACCTGTGGTCCCAGCTACTTGGGAAGCTGAGGCAGGAGGGTTGCTTGAGCCCAGGAGTTTGAGTTTGCAGTGAGCTACCATGATGCCACTGTACTCTAGCCTTGGCAACAGAGTGAGACCTTGTCTTAAAAAAAAGAAAAAAGAAAAGAAAAAGAGACCAGATTTGAAAAGTAAAGTTGAAAATTTAATTGAGAGCATTCCTTATGTCCCTAATTGTTTTTGGTATTGTTAAATGCTTCAGAGAGTTTTATAATCTACAAGTATGGTTAGCAACCTGTGGCCTTTGAGCCAAATCTAGCTTACCTCTTGTTTTTGTATGACTGGCAAGCTAACAATGGTTTTTACATTTTTTAAATGATTGAAAGAAAAGTCAAAAGAATAATATTCCATGACATGTGGACATTATATGAAATTCAGATTTCAATGTCCATAAATAAATTTTTCTTGGAACATAACCACATTCATTCATTTATATACTGTCATTCATACTACAAAAGCAGAGTAGTTGCAACAAAGACTGGCCTACTAAGCCAAAAATATTTTCAGTCTAGTTCTTTGCAAAAAGTTTGCTAGTCCCTGATCTAAAAGATGAGCTATAGACAACCTAGGTAATCTCACATGGCTGTCATTCTGTTTGACCTCATTTCCCATTCTGCCTTTGTTTATTACGCTTCAGCCAGAGTGGCCTTTGAACCTGCCAAGTTTGTTCCTGCCTCAGTACTTTTACATTTGATTTTCCTTCTGTTTGGGGCTTGTTTCCCTTTCCATGGCTACTACTTCTTTTTTATTAGTCTCAGATATCACTTCTTCCCCATCTTTGTTATTGTTTACTATATTACTCTTTTTTGTGTGTATTTGTTTAATCCTTCCACTCTCTATAGTCCCCCAAGTGAAGGAAAAGACTGTTTTTGTTAATATTAGATCATTAAATATGAAATGTCTGATTTCAAATCAAAGGTTTAGTTTATTATATCTCAAACAAGAAGCAGAATAGTTAATCAGAGTATGTGCCTACACTATCGACACAGTTTTGCCATCTTTTAATGGTAGCTTGTTTAGGCCAGCAGTAAAGAAACCTGGAGAGTGAGTGGTGATGAAATCTCCAAAGGTGTTTTCCACAGCTTGTTTAGAATTGAATATTTTCCCTTGCACAAAGTGGTCAAAAGGCTGGAGAAGTGGTAGTCAGCTGGTTGAAGGTCTGGTGAATATGGTGGATGACAGAGAATTTCCAAGTATAGCTTCTGTAGTTTGAGAAGCGTTGTATGTGCGACATGTGGTCGAACACTGTCTTGCAGGAAGATTGGCCTGTCTCTGTTGACCAGTCTTGGTTGCTTAATCTCAAGCATCCCAATCATTTGGTTGAATTGGTTGCAGTAGACATCTGCTATAATGGACCATATTTCATGAAGCTGTAGTGGATAATACCAGCTCTGGACCACTAAACAGACACCATTAGCTTTTTTTGATGACTATATGGTTTTGGACTGTGTTACAGCACTTCTTTATCCAGCATTTGTGCTGAACACTTGTAGTTGTCAAAAAGAATTCATTTTTCATCAAATGTAATAATACAGTGTAGAAATGGTTTACCTTTATGTCGTGACAGCAAAGAAAGGCAAGCTTTGAGACGATTTCTCTTCTGATGCTGATTTAATTCCTGAAGTACCCATCTATCTATCCAGCCTCTTTATCTTGCTGATTTGTTTCAAATGGTCCAATATTGTTGGAATAGTAATGTCAAACTTTGCTGCTGATACATGCATAGGTTGGGATAGATTTGCTTCCACAACAGCTTTCAGCTCATCATTATCCACCTTGGTCTCAGGTTGCCCATGTGGCTTATTTTCAAGATTGAAATCACAAGAAGAGAACTTCTGGAACCATTGGTGTACTATGCGTTCATCAGCCACATCCTTCCGAAACACTTTACTGATATTTTGAGCTGTCTGTGCAGCATTGATTCCATGTTAGAACTCATATTCAAAAATAACATGAATTTTTGACTTATCTATGGTTTCACAAAAATTGCTCTAAAACAAAAAAGATAATCACAAGCCAGGAACTATGCATTTGAAAGAATGAGGATGTGCCTTCACAATAAAAATAAAACAAGAAATGTCAAAGCGAAAATGTCAGAGATATCAACTGTCAAACTTAGTACTTAAGGAAATCAGACATTTCATACTTAATGACCTAATAGTTATATCTATAGCATCTAGAAGAGTATCCAACACATAAGGACTCAAAAAGTATTTGTTGATTGAGTGATACCTACTGGCAGCCTAACTTCATAAAGGGATGCAATTAATTGCAGTTGAAAGCTAATTGGAGATATTTATGAGGTATTGGAGGTATTTATGAGACAGAATTAAATACCTCAGAATTCTAATTATTTATATACTTTGACTTAATAATATGTTCAGCATCAAACTTGAGTTTATAAGAAAATTTAGGCGGCAGTTTTCTTTTTTGATGATCCTGGTCATTCATTTGTGGAAGCAGTTTAATTCATTTTTTACTTCATTTACTCTGTTAAAATGAGGCCAGTATCAAACAATCAGGACTATGGTTAATGTACTGTATATGACCATTTAAAAAAAAAAAGAGAATGTTTGTAATACAAGGGATCTCTGTGTGGTAGTCCAAAAGTTCATTCATAAATTGGTTTTTGAAATGGCATTTTTTTCTGGAGACTTAGAATCATAGCATTTTGGAATAGCATAGGACTTAGTAAATAACAATTTATTCCTTTTGTATGACTCTGGTTAGAAAGCTATTTACCATAAAAGTCAGGAGGTTACCTTTTTTTTTGTAACTAGAATTGGTATTGTAACTCATGGTTCTTAAAATCCTGATGGTGTTTTGTTCCACATTTCTCTGCTGTCAGGTGTTTGGTTAGTTCTTCACTGAAGAGGAAGCTGTATCCATGTGAACCATGTCTGTCTTCTCATATCACTTATTACTTAACGGGCCGGGGGGGGGCAGGTATTAGCATCATAATTTTAGCCCATTATTTGATGAGAGGATCTTAATTTCTATACTGTATAAGAGGTATTCAGTATGTTTCAAGATAATTAGTATTACAGTGTTCCAGACTCTCAGCTTTGTTAATTAGCCTATTTTTGTTAACCCTTCAGCATATTCATATTTCTCCCCCAGCTTTAGTTTTACTAGGTTAATTTTGTTTCTTTTTAGCTTTTATTAGACATAACTTATAGAGAAATAACAAAAGACTTTTCTTGTTTTTCTAATAGCCAAATCTTCATGTAGGGTAAAGTCTTAAGTCCATTTTCAGTTAAGCTATACCAGCAGGTAATACTGCCGCAGTGTTTTTTATTTTTATATCCTATTGCATCCACCCAATATAAAATATGTCACATAATTACAAAGGTCATTGTAATTCAGCACAATAGAGGATACTTTAATCCTTAATCTATTTTTTACTGTTTTTCTATCCCTGTCTGAATGCTTAGATGCCTAAGCCTTATTAGTCTATAACGTACCCAAAGTATAGAGTTAGACTATAAAACCTAACTACTAGGTAATAATGATGGTTAATTTGATTGAACACTTTTCCTTTGTTAGAAATTACTTTGAGTACTTTATATAGATTATCTCAGTCTTCACAACCGTCCTGAAATAGGCATTATTATTATTATTTTCATTTTGCAGATGAGAAAATTGAGTTTTCCAGGTAGTAAACTCCCCTCAATTACACAGTAACTAAGTCATTATGCCCATTCCCATTATAAGGGAGTATAATCAGAGTTGAAATATTTTTTTCTGTGTAATTATGTTTCACTTTGATAGGCAGTTATATAGTTCATTTGTTTCTGTATTCAAGTTTTGATTTAATTTTGTTTTCTGAATGCGTAAAAAATTTGCATGATTTAAAAGGTGCATGCAGAGATATCTCATTCCTGTTCCTTCCACCTCCTACCTGTATACTTCCTATGAGTAACCATATTCATTAGTTTCTGGTTTTGTCCTTACTGCTTTTCTTTTTGCAAAATAATACATATGCATAATATATACATATGTATGTGTATATCTTTATATTCTGATTTCCCTTCTCTTTTACTCAAAATGCAGTATACTATATATGCTTTTTGCACCTTTTTAAAAATTTAACAATACATCTTGGAAGTCACTTGGAGCAAAATTTTTATCTGCATCGTCTAATATCAAGTTCCACTAGGTCCTTCAACAGACTTTGTCATAGCCATGCAGGTATGATTCTTTCTCCTCTTCCTTCGTTTTAGAGTCCCTGCAGTTTGATGCTTCTTGAACCTCTAGGAATCGTATTTCCTTTTCCTGTCCACACCCTCATTTTCTTTTCCTGTTTTTAAAAAATAGACTCTGAATGTTAAGATTAGGACACTTACGGGATATGAGTGGTAAACAGAGGCCAAAAAGAAAGTTCACTTAAATTTAAAAGAAACCTTAGAGTTTTCTGCATGTTTTGGTCTTCACAAAGTGTTGTTACTCTGGATGTTCCTGCCAAGGGGCTAACTAGAACTGTGGAAGGAAGAGTAGGACAGGAATTCTTAGAAACAGGCAGTTGATGGGGTAGTCCACTGGAGTTGGATTTGGTGCTGGTGAAAAGAAAGACAGGGATGGAGATGGGGTTCATAGATGTCCCCTTCTTCCTTTGTCTTTTTTCCAGCTTTCTGTGAACATCACTGGGGCAAGCAGAATAGGGAGTTAGTGTTGGTGTTCTCTTTAGTGGTCTTAGCACAGAGGAAAGAGATGTGAGTGAAAGGGGCAGCTTGAAAATGATATCAGAGGACCCTTGAACACTCTTAATAAAAAGGGGTATTTATGAATCACATGGATTTAAATCAGAGACTACCTGGACTGAATACAAGTGATAAAACTCTTAATGATATGAAAAGAGGTACAAGAACCCTTTCCCCCTCTTCCTCACCCGGCGTATAAGACAAACATGGTATATATATAGCTTTCTAGTTCTATCTCTCACTGTATCTCTTTCTCCATCTAGGCTGCTCTCACCATATCTATCTCTGTGTATCTCTATCTCCTAATAGCTCCATGTAGGCAAAACAAGGTATCTACTTAACTTGGCAAAATCATACCTTCTTCCACTTCACAGCTATGACAGGGAGGCAGTCTAGTGTAGGGTGCTTAAGAGATTGGTTTTGGAGTTATTCAATCTTAGGCCTCAAATTTCACCTCTGCCACTTAGTACCTGTGTAACCATGTTACTTAATTTTTCTGAGACTCATTATCCTAATCTTTGAAATGGAGGTAATGAATATATACCCCATAGGGTATTGTAAACTATATTGATGAAGTATCTAGCATAGTGCCTGATAGGTAGTAAGTATACAGTAAATTGTAGGTGTTGCTGCTGTTATTAATGTTGCTATTGTTATATTCTGAGTCAGTTCAAGATACGATGTCTGTATCTAAATAAACCTGAGGCACAATTTATATTAATACTTTTCTCTTTGAGAAATCATCTCTCTCTGACCCTGAATGAACCTTTGTACATTATTTCCTTCTTGACACTAGCTTCTGTTTTTTTTTTTTGCAATTAAACTAAACTACTTTTTTATTGTTTAGGTTGTAAATGTCTTAAAATCATTATTGACAAATCTTGACGAAGTAAAAAAGGAAAGAGAAGGTCTAGAGAATGACCTGAAATCAGTGAATTTTGACATGACAAGCAAGTTTTTGACAGCTCTGGCTCAAGATGGTGTAATAAATGAAGAAGCTCTTTCTGTTACTGAACTGGATCGAATCTATGGAGGTCTTACAACAAAAGTCCAAGAATCTCTAAAGAAACAGGAGGGACTTCTTAAAAGTATTCAGGTGAAATTTATATATTTAATAAGATATATGTTTAAAAAATTGCAGAAAGGTTATGCCTGGACTAAACCTATGTTCATTTAGGAAAATGACATTGGAGAATCTATATAGTTAAGAGTGGCACACGATACATCTGTATTTTGCAAAATTTAACTTGTCATTTTGGTTTTATTTAAATCTATGAAAGAATGCCACACTTCTGTGGCTAAAGTGTTGTATGTTACTTAGAAGTGCTTGATGCTTCAGATAATTTGGGTTTTTCCACATTTTTAACAGCTTTGGCTTTTTTGCCATAGAGGAGAAAATCAAAATTAGTTGGGATTATTGATACCTGTAATTATATGGCTAACATTACAGACTTTAGTTGTTTTTTGAAAATAACGCAAAACTAAATAAGCTTAGATGTTTGAAGTTAGTCATATTTGTATTTATAAATAGGTAGTTTGGACTAATAAAGACTTGACATTCTGCCCTTTTAGTAATGTACAGAATTATATGTTATATATATCTACTCTTGAATATTATATCTATACATAATAGAAGGTATTCTAAGAAGTAAAAGAATTTTCATCTTGATTGTATTTCTTTCAAGTGTTATATATTAACAGAAACCTGTAATCATTATTTGTTGTGTTTTGATATTCATTGGATTTGTAATATTTTTACTTAAGGAAAGATTTAAAGCATTTTGCTACCTCAAAAAACATATTTATTAGATATTTCCGGTAATTCTGCATGTATTTGATCATATATGATTTTCATAGTTGGAAAAACTATCAATAAAAATGTTATGAGCTATGTTATTTTATAAACAAATATAAATTCATAAATCTTTATTTTAACAAGGTCTCACACCAGGAGTTTTCGAAAATGAAACAATCTAACAATGAAGCTAACTTAAGAGAAGAAGTTTTGAAGAATTTAGCTACTGCATATGACAACTTTGTCGAACTTGTAGCTAATTTGAAGGAGGGCACAAAGGTATGAAGTACATAAAAAGAACAGCTAAAAAGTATAAAGGTGAAAGTATAGTTTAGGATATTAATTGATGTTTCCAGTTGGATAAAATTATTCTTTGCCTGGATTGTTGTTAGCTTTAATGCCTTTCGCCTCTGTGAAGTTTGTTATGAGAGCAAAAACGATTAATGAAGGTGGCAACAGTTCATGGGAACTTTGAAGGGTGGGTGGTGTATTATTTCAGGCAGAAAATGGGTATAAATATTACAGGTAGCAGAAGTTAGCAGGGATGTCAGAAGCCAGTGACACTTTTTTAAGTAATAGGAAGTTGACCAATTTGAATTGTGAAGGGACAGGAATAGTCACAGCTGATCTGTGATGGGAAAGGGTAGTGTGGGCATGGCTTTTATATTCTGTGTGGTGGCTTGGTGATGGTAGACTCATGACCTTCCTGAGTATCAGAAGGCTTACTAAATATGCTTTAAGTACTTTCTTACCTTGTCCTTTATAAAGTTTAGGGACATGGTTATATTTGTGTTTTACCAGTTACTTTGCTTTTAAAGAGGGAACAAGTGACTTTTAAATTTTCAGATGCATAATTCATTTTGGTATTTAATTTCATAATGATCACTGACTGAAGTGATCTTGATGTAAATACAGTAGGTATTGTGCAAAACTCTTTGAAGAGAGGGTAAGAATATTGCAAAGCCATCCAAATAGAGAGGATAGTTATATGCTGTTTTATTTTTGTTTAAAATGATGATTTTGTTTAAAATCATTTTTGTAAAAATGATTCATTTTTGTAGTGAATGTGCAAATCTAACCACGTAAGAAGGTGTAGTGTCAATTGTTAAGTAATTGACTTTTCTCTAGTTATTGGAAACATGTTCATGATACTTTTAACTTGTACTTAATATTTAGTGATAATGTTCTGTAGAAATGGCTTTATTATTTTTTTTTAGGAATTTGAGGTTGTATTTAATTTAATTGTTGGGCTTAATAAGTGGTATGACTGTCTTATTCAAAGGATTTCAGTTCTTCAGCTTTGATTATCATTGATAAATTAGCTTTAAATTGTATTACTCACTGAATTAAAAATATTGTTCTTATTATTACTTATATTTATTCTTTGCTTATAGTTTTACAATGAGTTGACTGAAATCTTGGTCAGGTTCCAGAACAAATGCAGTGATATAGTATTTGCAAGGAAGACAGAAAGAGATGAACTCTTAAAGTAAGTTTTTTTTGTTTATCAAATTGTACTTAAAATATTTTCTTTAAAAAAATCATGTAGAGGCTTCTGGGGTAAACTTGGTAGTTTGAGATACCAGGTATCTTTTTTTCCAGGTATTTTACAAAGCCACAAGCAAACAACTGCACAATCTAGGAATGAAAGGATGAAAAGGAGAAGAAACTCTAGATGTAGGAAATACAGTGAGGTCACAGAAATGATAACAAAACAATTCAGGGTGGCAGATCTCAGGAAGTGCCAGTAAATGTAAGCAGTTTATCTTGAAGTGGCAGATAGGTTTCTTACATAAAACTAGAAGCATAGAACCATGGGAAAGACAGGATGAATAGCTCAGAAAGTACAAGCAAAATCACTTTCTGAAGGAGCCTGTTGAGGAAACAAGGCCAGTCGTGTAGGACCCATTTTCTGCTGAGTAATCAATAGAGAGGTGACACAGCATTGATAACGGAGATACTATATTTATAAAGGTGAAAAAAATGAACAAAATTTAACAAAACTTCATAGATGAAGAACATTCACCAAAATAACAGAACAGATGAAAATTCTGAGCAAACATTTCACCATGAATTAAAACAACAATAGTAAAACAAAACAAAAAAAAACACCAAAAAGTAAGGAGAAGCAATCACTCTTAGGAACACCTTGGGCAGAAATGCCAGAGAGAAATTCAAGGAAGATGGTAAGAAAACAAATAGTGATAAAATATTAGGTGTCAGGCCAGGCATGATAACCCATGCCTGTAGTCCCAGTCACTTGGGAGGAGGCTAAGGCAGGAGGATCGCTTGAGCCCAGGAGTTTGAAGTTGCAGCGAGCTTTTGGGGCCACTATACTCTAGCCTGGGTGACTGAGCGAGACCTCTTCTCTTAAAAAAAATGTGAATTTAGGAAAGAAATAGAAGAGAAGAACAAAGCCATTGTAGATATAAGTTGAAGGGCGACGGAGCACAAAGGGAGAATAGACACTGAAGAAAACATAGGACACAGAGCAGAGATGAGGAAATCAGAGAAAGTGAAACCAAAGTAAAGAAAGAATTAACAAGGATTAGAAAACAGAAACAGAAGATCCAATATATGCAAAATTGAATTCCTCTCAAAGAAGAAAAACCAAAATAGTGAACAGAATAGATATTTGATAGTATTACTCAAAAACATTTTCCTAAAATAAGAGGTTTGTTAAAAGAGTATATCATATGGTGGGGAAAAATGATCAAGAACTGTCAGCATCATAGCATATTAATTATTAGCCTTAAAAGATAATGGCAGGGCCGGGCGTGGTGGCTCACGCCTGTAATCCTAGCACTTTGGGAGGCCGAGGCGGGAGGATTGCTTGAGGTCAGGAGTTCAAAACCAGCCTGAGCAAGAGCGAGACCTTGTCTCTACTATAAATAGAAATTAATTGGACAACTAAAAATATATAGAAAAAATGAGCCGGGCATGGTGGCTGTAGTCCCAGCTACTTGGGAGGCTGAGGCAGAAGGATTGCTTGAGCCCAGGAGTTTGAGGTTGCTGTGAGCTAGGCTGATGCCACGGCACTCTACCCCAGGCAAGAGTGAGACTCGTGTCAAAAAAAAAAAGAAAAAGAAAGGAAAAAAAAAGATAACGGCAGACTCCTTTAAGCAGTCAGAGACAAAAAGTCCATTTATAAAAAGGTGAAAAAATCTAAGCTAGTAGCACTATATGCTATAAGAGAGTGGAGTGACCCTTTCAGCCAACTAGACCTTTTTCAGCTCTCTGTTCTTATTTAAACAGTTTTTCATAGAAGAGGAAGATGTTATCAAAGAGTTACCTTCTTCCATCCCTAACAAAGAGCAGGGTAGTTGTTTTTAGAGTATTTCTACTAAACCTATGTAAAGCAAATAATTAGAATGTTTTTAAAATTGTTCTAGAGCTTTAACGACAATAAAAAAAGATGAATACCCTCCAAATTAGTATTAATGATAAGAAAACTTGACAACCATTAAAACAAAATAGTCTTCAGACTGATTTCAGTTATGAATATGGATGTTAAAGTCCTAAATAAAGTACTTGCCAATTATATTCACCGGTAATTCATTCATCATTCATCATCTTTCATTCACTAGTAATGAAAGAATCATTCACCATGATTCTTTCTTAAAAAAGAATCATGACCAAGAGGAGGGGGGAACAGTTATTGGTTCAATATTTTTATATCTAAGGAGAAAAAGATCACAGGTTTATCTTCATATATGAGACAAAATCATTTGAGAAGATGTTATTATATAATTGTTCTGATAATAAAATAGGAGTAGATAGATGCTTCCTTAACCTGAACGATATATCTTTCTGCCCCAAACTGAGCATTTTGGGTATGGAGAAACACTATTAACAGACCCCTTCAAGTCAAGAACAGACAATAAATGCCACTGTCAATGCTATTATTTAATATTATGCTGGCAGTACTAACCAGGATAATTAGACAAGAGAAAGAAATTAGAAATAAAAAATTTGGAAAGGAAGAGGTAAAACTATCACTATTAAGGCAGACTTTATGATTGTATAACTACTTGGAAACTACCCCAAATTCTGCAAATAATAAAATAATTATTACTGAAGTTGTTGGTAATAAAAATAATTTGTAGAAATCAGTAGCTTTCATGTAAATAAATCTGTGGAAGATATGATAGATGAAAAAATCCACCTACAGTAGCAACAAAAATGATATATATATAAGAATAAGTTTGTCATATATGAGACCTATATGAAGAAAACTTTAAAATACTGTTTCAAGGATACAAAAAGACTTGAGCAAGTTGAAAGGCGTATGTTTTTGGATAGGATAACTCAACTTCATAAAGATGTCAATTTTAAATAAACTTACGCATCACCTGGGCACAGTGACATGCACCTGTAGTCCCAGCTGCTCAGGAGGCTGAGGCCACTGCACTTCAGTCTGGGTAGCATAGTGAGACCATCTCTCTCTCTCTCTCCCCCCATACATACACACAAACACACACACACTGATTTATGCATACTTCTGATTTTAAAAAAATTAACATATTTTCATTTGGAGTTAGACAACTTGATCCTAAAGTTCAAGTAGAAAAAGAAGCCGGGCATGGTGGCTCACGCCTGTAATCCTAGCACTCTGGGAGGCTGAGGCGGGCGGATTGCTCGAGGTCAGGAGTTCGAAACCAGCCTGAGCAAGAGCGAGACCCCGTCTCTACTATAAATAGAAAGAAATTAATTGGCCAACTGATATATATAGAAAAAAAAATTAGCCAGGCATAGTGGTGCATGCCTGTAGTCCCAGCTACTCGGGAGGCTGAGGCAGGAGGATTGCTTGAGCCCAGGAGTTTGAGGTTGCTGTGAAATAGGCTGACACCACGGCACTCACTCTAGCCTGGGCAACAAAGCGAGACTCTGTCTCAAAAAAAAAGTAGAAAAAGAAACAAGATTAGCTATGAAAACTGAGTAAAAGGAATAGTGAGGGGATACCAATTCTGCCAGATATTAGGAAATATAATGCTGTCTCTAGTTAAAACCATGGTACTGGGGCATGATTAGACAGACCAAAGACAGAATAGAAAATATTAATAGAAATAGATTTAAATACATAAGTGAATTTAGTGTAGGTCTTAAAACCCATCAGAAGAAGTTGGGGACAACTGCCTAGTCATTTAGAAAACAAAAGTTAGTTTTGTACCAGAATAAATTCCAAATGGATCAAACTTGACATGTGTCAATGAAATGTGAAGTCTAAAAGAGAGAATATGGAGAATTCTTTAACAGTGCTGGATTGGAAGGAATCTGACTCTGACTTAATATCCAGAAACCATTAACAAAACAATGGATAAGTTCATTATAAAAACATGATAAGCAGAGTTAAGATATGACAAACTGGGCAATTAATATTTGAATCTTACTCATAGTCGAAAGGCTAATTTACCTTATTTGTGAAAAAATTCCTAGGAATTACTGAGAAAAATAACCCAGTAGAAAACTGGGGAAAGGATGTTAACAGAAATTTTTCGGACAAGGAAATACAAGTAGCTCTTAAACATGGAAAAACACCCTCATTCAATATAAAATACAAATTAAAAGTACTCTGAAATATCATTTTTCAGATTGGCAAAAATCTGAAAGTTCGTTAACATTCTTTGTTGGCACACGTTGGGGAAGTGTCATATATTGCAGTGAGAGTATGGAATAGTGCAATCTTTGTGAAGGGCAGTTTAGCTGTAAAGGTGAGGATTACAAATTCAAACATCCTTTAATGGTTTTGGGAATCTGTTCTGAAGATATATTAGCATGTGCTAGACATGTATTTATGAGGTTATTAATTTCTGCATTGCTTATAGCAGTAGAAGAGTAAAAACAAATGAAGTGTCTGAAGCTGGTGAAATAAATAAAGCTGTGTCTGTATAGTGAAATACTATGCGGTGATATATACAATTGAAAATGTATAATTTTTAATAGCCATAGTAAAAAGAAATTAAAAGAAACAGGTGAAATTAATTTTGATAATATATTTAACTTAGTACTATCATTTTAACATAATGTAAAAATTATGACTGAGCTATTTTACTTTTTTTTCCCACCTTAAGTCTTAGAAATCTATGTAATTTTGTACTTAACAACACATCTCAATTCAAATTAGCCACATTTCGGGTATATTTAAGTGTATCAGGTTTATTAGCCACATATGGCAAGTGGTTACTGTATTATATAGTACATGCTTTTGGTGAGCATATGTATGCACTGCTGTTGGATATATATCTAAGAGTGGATTTGCTGGGTCATAGGGTATGTGTATGTTCAACTTTAGTTGCCATATAGTTTGCCAAAAACTATTGCCATATAGTTTTCCAAAGTTGTTGTACTAATTTATATTCCTCCTAACAGTATATGAGAGTACTGGTTGCTCCACATTTTTGCCCTTTGCTATTCTGGTGGATGTATAGTGTTATCTAATTGTGGTTTTAATTTTCATTTCCCTGATGACTAATATGTCCTTTTATATACTTATTAGCTAGAGGCTTTGATTCTTAATTTTTGTTTTCATTGAAATCTTTTATCAAAAATATAGAGTAGAAAAAGAATGAATGTTTTTTTCTGAGCGTTACTTATTTTCAATAATGGTTTAAATACTAATGTCAGCAGTAATGGTTATTGGGCATAGGAATATTGGTGGCATTTTATTTCATATATTATTGCTTTTTTACAGTATTGATCTTGTTTAATAGTTTTGATTTATTAGTAAGTGGCTAGGAAATTCTTATTTGCCCTATAAATATGTTATTTACTGCAACCATCCCTAGGTATTGTGTTAAGGCATTATAATATACATATATTTTTTAGATATTTCAAAATCTGGTCTTTTAGAATTTGATTAAAAACTTCTAGTTTAGCTAGGAGTGGTGGCCTATACCTGTAATCTCAGCAATTTGGGAGGATCATCTGAGCCTAGGAATTGTAGACCAGCCTGGGCAACATAGCTAGACCCTTCCTCTAAAAAAGTAGAAAACATTAGCTCGGTGCTGTGTGGTGCACGCCTGTAGTAACAACTACAGAGGACACTGAGGCAGGAGGATTGGTTGAGTCCAGGAGTTCCAGCCCAATATAACAAGACCTCATCTCAAAAAAAGAAAAAAACCATCTAGTTTATCTTGTAAGCAGTTTTTTACTTACATTAAGAAGGAGCTTTAGTTTTTTTGATGAATATATATTAATTTTCTTTTTCTCTGGAGTGACTAATTTATCTTCCAACTGGGGCCCTTTTTGAGAATGAAAGTGGGGTGTGGCAGATGTGAGGGGTTGCTGTTAATTGTTACATCAGGGCAACAAGTACTGTCTTGATATTTTGGGACACATATTTACTTCTCTGTGTATGTTAATCAGTACAGTGAGAAGTTGGTTGATACCATGTATTTCTAGAGTGGATTTTACATGAGGTATTATTATTATTATTGTTGTTGTTATTATTTTTGAGACAGGATTATGCTTTGTTGCCTGGTTGAGTGTAATGGTGTCATCATAGTTCACTGCAACTTCGAACTATTGGCCTTAAGCAATCCTTATGCCTCAGCCTCCTGAGTAGCAGAAACTATAGGCATGTGCCATCACATCCAGCTAATTTTTTCATTTTTTTGTAGAGATGGGGTCTTGCTGTGTTGCTTAGGCTGGTCTTGAACTCCTGGCCTCAGCAATCTTTCTGCTTTGGCCTCTCAAAGTGCTAGGATTGTAAGCGTGGGCCACTGTGCCTAGCTTTACATATTACTTAGTGAGATTGGGATAGATTCCAATTTACTGTTAGAGGAGACATTCTAATTTTTAATAATAAATTATAATGATCTTTTCAACAATATATATTCCATGAGTTATGTTAGTGAATAGATTATGAATTACCTTTTAACATAAAATATCTCAGTGCTACATTTCTTTGAATATCTGCAGAAATTTTTTATCTAGAAATTTGCATTATGGTTTGCATAATAGATTAGCTTTCTCATCTGTTTTATTTTCTGTTAAACACTGATTCATACTGTGATTAAAGTATTAGCTGGATGACTATGAGTGTTTTTTAGTTTTCTGCTAACTTTTAGATAGGTTATGTTAGCAGTTTTCATCTAGGGACTACCTTTTATTAAAGAGTGGGCAGTCTTAGGATTACCCGCCCCTTTTGATATGTTACTTACTCTAGCTGTAACTAAGATCTTCAAAAATGTTTACCTTTTATTCTTTTTTTAAAAAGTGTTGGCTGGGCGCGGTGGCTCACGCCTGTAATCCTAGCACTCTGAGAGGCCGAGGTGGGCGGATTGCTCGAGGTCAGGAGTTCAAAACCAGCCTGAGCAAGAGTGAGACCCCGTCTCTACTATAAATAGAAAGAAATTAATTGGCCAACTAATATATATAGAAAAAATTAGCCGGGCATGGTGGCGCATGCCTGTAGTCCCAGCTACTCGGGAGGCTGAGGCAGAAGGATCACTTGAGCCCAGGAGTTTGAGGTTGCTGTGAGCGAGGCTGACGCCACAGCACTCAGTCTAACCTGGGCAACAAAGCGAGACTCTGTCTCAAAAAAAAAAAAAAAAGTGTTACATAGTGCTGTAATAAACACAGGAATACAGATACCTCTTCAATATACTGATTTCTTTTGTATACATAACCAGCAGTGCTGAGTCATATGGCAGACCTATTGGTTTTTTGAGGGACTTCCATGCTGTTTTCCATAGTGGCTGTACTACTTTGAAGTGTATTAAATTTTAAAATGCCATGATTATTTGTGGTCCATTTTCCCTGTTTCATGTGTGAAAAAAATAAAAATAAAAAGGATCTGATATTTTATGTGCATTACATTTTCTTATTGTGTTAATTGTTAACACTATGTCTTTAATAAGGGACTTGCAACAAAGCATTGCCAGAGAACCCAGTGCTCCTTCAATCCCTACACCTGCCTATCAGTCGTCTCCAGCAGGAGGACATGCACCAACTCCTCCAACTCCAGCACCAAGAACCATGCCGGTTAGTACACAGAGTTTTTAGATGGAGGTTGCACATTAATGACAACTTGCCTGCTGTAAAGGATAAAACATACTTTACATTGGAAGGTGATCAACCTTTCTGATGTTTTGCAATATGTAGAACACAGCGTCACTCATGAAATCTTGACAAAAAATGTTTAACCTGAATCTAATCAAGTCTTTAGAACTAACTTTGCATTTACAGCAACTATAGTGATAAAATCAGAGATTGAATTTAAACTGTACCATTAGGAAGCATTTGGACAAATCTAGGACATGGGACATTATGTGGGACACCTAGATTGGTCTTTTCTAAAACTGAATGTCATCTATCTGAAAAAAGACTGGGATATAATCTAGATTAAAATAAATGAAAAGTTTATTACAGTCAAATACAGTATATGAATCTTGACTTTGGTTCATAAAAATAGCTGTAAGAGCTTTTTTGTGATAAATAGGGAAACTTGAATCTGGAGTGGATGGATATTCATTGATATTGGAGAATAGGCATTCATTTTCTTAGTGTTAAAATGGTATTGTGATTAAGGAGAATATTCTTATTAGGACTTGAGTGCTGAAGTCTTCATGGCTGGTGTCATGGAGTTTGCAGCTTATTTTCAAATGGTTCTGCAAATATGTAGATAGATAAATATATGGATATAAATATGGATAAAGCAGATATGGTAAAATGTTAATAGTTGTTGAATTTCATTGGTAGATATGTGATTGTTTTATATACTATTCAAGTTATCTGGTGTTTGAAAATTTTCATATAGTTTGGGGACTAGGTATGGATTATAATAATAAACCGTATGTGTGCTTCTTCCATCCACCTCCAGTATCTGGCCATTGGTGGAAGTAGTAAATGATTAAATAGGCATCAAGAAAAGAGCAGTGGCTATGGGTGTTTCTACAAATTGGAGAATTATTCCTCAACTATGATACATTTCTAGAGTAATAAGCCAACATTTAAGAATGGAAATTAGAAATACATTTTGATTGGATTCTAGAGCTTTTCATGTAGCATACCATCACTTATTTTAATCAGTAGCAATTTGAGAGAAAAATAAAACATTTTGTAATTAATGCCGACTTTTCTTTATAGCCTCCTAAGCCTCAGCCCCCAGCCCGGCCTCCACCTCCTGTGCTTCCAGCAAATCGAGCTCCTTCTGCTACTGCTCCGGCTCCAGTGGGGGCTGGGACCACTGCACCAGTTCCATCACAAACCCCTGGCTCCGCTCCCCCTCCACAGGCCCAGGGACCACCCTATCCCACCTATCCAGGATATCCCGGGTAAGGCCGCAACATTGTATATTCTAAGGAGTTGGCTAATGTGTTTCTACCTCTGGCTAACCTTTTGAAAACAGGGTCACCCCTTCTATAAATGAAGGTGGCATGAATGCATAAATTATGTTGTAAGCTTATCCAGAAATAAATACAACATTATGGTCACTTATATGAGTAGTTGAATAGCCATTTCCTGGGCTTTTCAAATTTATGTTTTTATGTTTTACGTATTGGGCTTATATTAAACACATTTCTTCTGTATGGAATCCGGTATGTATTTCATTGGTTTTCTTTATCTAGGTGATAAACAGATAGATGCCTTTCCTGAGCTTAGCATAGCAAGACTTATGAGGCCTTTGTTTATGTCCCTGTACTTTGAAATTTTGGCATTTAATATACTGTTGAACAGAAATTTATCTAATTATGGAATGTACTTTCTTTTTTTTTTTTTTGGAATGTACTTTCTTAAAGATTAGCCACCTTTGAGCTAATTTCATAATCATAAAAATGCAGACATTTGGCTGCCTTTTAAGATGTGCTCTAAATTTTGCTTGAGTATGTTTTGTCTTCTAAATATTAGAATTTCATAAACAGCAAATTTATGTTCATTGCAGTGAATATTGAGTCTTGTGGAGGAGGAATGTCTTTAGAGTACTAGTTTGCCACATTAAAATGAAGGCTCTCCGTTTTTATTCTTTCTTTAAGTGTTGAATATTTAATGTCACTTCCTTCAACGATATTATTTTCTAGATAGTATTAAATACTTGATATTCTTTCATCTTAATAATAGGATAGGAATGCTTTTCTCTAACAAGTACCTTGAAATAGTTTTTTCCCCTCTCCACTGTTCTTTAATAGACTGAAAAATAGAGAAAAATGGCTTTTGTGAAAAAACTTAGTTTTGGAATAATCATTGTATGTTTAATTATCTAGTATTTTATTTACCAATTCAGTTTTTTTGTTTTCTTCTCCCTATCAGGTATTGCCAAATGCCCATGCCCATGGGCTATAATCCTTATGCCTACGGCCAGTATAATATGCCATATCCACCAGTGTATCACCAGAGCCCCGGACAGGCTCCGTACCCAGCACCCCAGCAGCCTTCATATCCCTTCCCTCAGCCCCCACAGCAGTCTTACTATCCACAGCAGTAATGTGTCTGCTCAGGAGCTCAGCTGGTTCAGATCAGAGGGAAAGAAATACCAACCCTGCAATAAGTGTACTAAACTCTACGCTCTGGTTAATATAATGTACTCTACTGTACTGAATTCAGTGTGTAATTTCTGTCTGCGGCTAAAAGCAAAAAGCTGTGCCCCAGTTTCACATTTGATTATACATGTGAGATTTGCTGCTGTTGCAGTGGGGTATAATAGGATTTGAAATAAATTACATTACAGTTTATAAAAAGTGAAAATGAGAAATTAAACCTGCAAGTGAAATGTTTGAAACTTCTACCTTCTACATGAGACATGGTTGGGACATCAGATACTTACAAAGATGGCTTTAAGAATGGTTATTCAGGAAAACTAAGTTTTCTTTCTCTTTTGGTTTATTGATTTTATTTCTATTATGCTATTTTGCATAATCAAAGCATTGTAAATCTTATAATTTAAAAATAAATTACTTAAGAACAGTTGTCATTGTTATGTTTTGTCATTGATTCTCATTACTGTCTAATTTCTTTCTGGTATTAGTCTCTCATTTTGTATGTATATAAGTTAAACAGATACTGTGTTTAAGTGCATGAATAGTGCAAGTTAATAGTCAGGCTCAAGGACATTTTATAGGGAAACCAAAAGAATAGTACCATAATTTATCTTTCATATGCTGATTAGTAAATTAATTTTTGACATTGATTTTAAAAAGTCCTATAATGTGGAAGAAACACATTTGCTACCAAAGATTCTTCAAATAAATATACAAATAAATTTGTATATTTAATGTTTTATTATTAGCTTCTCCAAGAAACTGATGCCAATTTTGGTAATAATTCTTTCATTTTTTTCCATAACTTGATTAAAATAAATACATATCATTGACAGTACTGACTAATATAATGGAATTGTTTGGAGAAAATTTACTCTGTACCCTTCTATTCCTTTTTCCCACCTTACTGTCTTAACTTAGTAACATTTAATCATAATGTGTATGAATATATCTAAGCCCTTTTTTTGGCTCCTAAAAGATTGGACTATTTTATAATTCAGGGAACACACAAAACAATTGCTGGAAACATGCCAATTCTGGAATAGGCTGTTTATTTAATATTAATCTCTGCTATTAGGATATCTAATCACTGTATAAGCCTCAGTAAAAATAGTAAAGACATGCACCATGGAATGAGAAAATGAGAAAGGAATGAGTTGTCTAACATCACAGTGGGATATGTTCTATGTGAAGTTCATTTCTGAACACATTAGGTGTATGAGCAGATTGCCAATGAATCTATTTATGTTTATTTTTTGAGTCTTACTGCTGACATTTTCTTGCATTATTGTTTTATTTAAATGATACTGTCACTTGGTCCTCTGTTGTTTTCATGGACAGTTTGGATTTATATTTTAAATGTTAGACTGAAGGTATGATTGTAAAAGGAAGTAAATTGGTTTAAAAAATATGTATATTCAAAAACAATCTTTGTTGTATGTAGAAAACATGAAGGCATGTTAACAACATAAATGACCTTTGATTACTTTTGAATATTGAAATTGGTTTAAAGTCCAATAGTTAAGCCTTGGCAAAAATAGTTTTTCACTTATCATTGCTAAATTTTTATACTTTGGATTCATCAAAGTGTGACACAGGCTTGTTTGACTCTTCTGTAAATGGCATTTAAGTTCTCCATTCTTATTACTCGAGATATCTTATACTAACATAAGACACTCAGTGAGAGTTAGGGGTATTCCACACTGCTAGTTTATAATTCTTACTAATGCAGAAAACAAAACAAAACAAAACAAAACTGGCCTGAATATTCTCTTGGGGAAAGAGGGCACTAAAGGAAAAAGGGTAAGTGCATCAGAGGGCCAAGAGAGGCCATTTAGCCCATTCCTCGTGCTAAGTTGAGCCTGTTCCCAGAGAGCCCCAGGACGATCACTCAGAAACTCAAGAAAGGAGGCCCCACAGGCCTTTGAGGCACAGCACACCTGTCGGGCTCAACTCTGTTAGCAAAACCTTTTAAATGTAGCAGCCCTGACCCATTCCCTCTTGTCAGTTCACTCGTTTTTTAGATAAAGATTCTTTTTAGTCACCCAAGTCTAGGTACCAGTGACCAAGTTCTGCAGCCCTTTATTGCTGGGTTTGTCTTCAGAGGCCTGTACAGTTTCATTAAGGTGACTCATGGAAAGAAGTGTCTTTTGTGTTGGACATTCTAGCGAACAAGAAGGGAGCCCTCATTGAGCTTGATACTGAAACGTAATCCTTTGCTTAGCCTCCCATATTCTAGCAAATACCCTAAAACATTGATAATGGATAATGCTGTTTATTTGGAGTTGGGAGGGTGCCACTCTGTGGTTCAGGTATGTTGTACCCTTGTTTATAATTAGGCTTTTTAAAAAAATTGCCTTCCTAAATTAAGGAAAAGAGATCATCTCTAGGCCATTTATTTTGGGTTTTGGAATCCTATTTTAAAGTGGATTATACTTCAGATAATGAAGCACTGCTTCGATAGAGGACCTTAACAGAAATGAAGAAAAAACTGTCTAACTTCTATTTCTTATTCCAAGTTGGAGACATATGGACCTGACTGCTTAGTCTGGTGTAAAGTATTGGTTTAAAGAGGGCTAGTCCTGTGCCTCTTGGTCTTCATTCTCATTTAAGAAAAAGTCATAAGTTACTGCAAACCAATCAATCTTTGTGAGATACCCCTGTACTGATAGCCCAACTTCTTGGCAGTTTCTAATCCTGTCCCCCACCAGGCTAAGGAATTGCAGAAAAAAAAAAAAAATGGATTTCCACATAGCCTGTGCCCCTAACATTCTATCCCAGTCAGCAGCCTTTCTAGTCAAAACAGATTTAAAAAATGTTTTCCATTGGAGCTTTACAGTTTGCAAAAGTGCTTTGTATACATTTTCTAATTTCAGAAACAGGATAGAATATGATTTGTTAAGTAGGTTTCTGTTGGCTAATGGAAAAAACTTTTTTTCAGTATATGTTGAAGAATCTTGCTAGACACCTAGTGACATCTCATTTTTTAAAGACTTTCGCAATTATTAGTTAATGATTCACAGTACAGAGCAAGATATAAAGTAGGGAAAAAACCTGCTATAGTGTTATAATTGCGGTTTAAAAATAGACTTTAGAACTAACAGGTTGATTATAAGATTTACATGGAAGAGCAAAGAAGGAAAAATTATATTTTTAAAGAAAGAGAATATTCAGGCTTTATTTCTGGTATGAAGTTTATATTTTTTAAAAAATCCTATATTATCACACCAGAGATTTTAGATTCTTTTCTGGTTACAAACATTGCTGGTAGTTGGATTATATTTTTATTGTATTCATTTCTCTTAGGGGAAAATTGTAAAGAAACAAAAGGTTCTAGATGAATGTATCCTAGAAATAAAAGTTGAAAGATTCTTACTTCCTTGGAGTATGAATTCTTATTTTTAAAGTTTTTATCCTTCAGCCTTATCATTTCCATAATTTCTTTGACAAATGGTAGGTTGGAAAATTTAAGAAAACACCCACTTTGACAAAATGCACGAGACTACAAAAGGAAGACAAAGTAAGTTTTATTTTTTTTTTTTTACAGCTTGAACCCCATAATTTATTATAAATGGACCATGTTTTTATTACTTATGATTTTTTCCAGTTCTTCCAGATGAGTATTCTCTTCAAGTGCCATTTTTAATTTTTGGAAGTGATCATCAAAGATTACCATAATAGTCAGTTGATCAGGGAAAGTGGGGGGATGGGCGATGGTGCAGTCACAACCTATGAAAGTGACTGAGAAGGTGCATGCTTGGCCAGCTTTGGCATTTATTATTACCACAGGGCAGGATTGGCTTAGGAATAGCCTGTGAGTAGACTTGAACTTGACTATAGCCTGTGCACCAGAGTGCTCAGGCCACTGAACTGCAGGCCATAGGCTGCTGACACCAGTGCTTCTCTGCCCCCTGCCCTCTGACTGGTCTTGCTTTTATAGGTAATCAGTCCTGGGCACAACCAAGTTGTCTGCCTTCTCTGCTCATTGGCACTCTGCATGGGAGTCTGGCTTCTGCCAATTCTGTGTTTCCCAATATTCTTCCTTTTTGCTGAAATGTTGCTTAGGTCCATCTCAACTAATGAACTCCAATTGATACAGGTGATGAATAGATTCAAGTCTATTACCATTGTTTTTAAGTTTTCCTATACTTTGAAATGTTGTAAGCGTTTCACATTTTGAAGCTAGGTGATTCAGACTCATATCAATTTAGTGGCCCTTTTTCACCTTGTAATACATTTTGTTATTAATATCACCGCCTTTATTTTCTTTTTGGATGCAGATTTTCTAATTTTAAAATGCAGATTTTCTAATTTAATACGTGTGTACACCTGCCTTAGTTTTAGATGTTTGGATTTAGTCATTTGACTCAATCTATTTTTGTAACCTAATAGGAAAATTTAACAGTTTTGATAAACTGTTATAATTTGTATGATCTTTTGACATTTTTGTCTGGTATAAATATTTTGTCCTTTCTGTTTCTTGTCTTTCATTGTTTGGATTATGTTTTCTTTTTTAGTTGTTTGGAACATTAGTCATCACCTGCAAATTTGGAAGGCATTAATACTCTATTTTCTTCCTTCCCATCCTCAGCCAAATCTTGTTTCTTAAAATGTAAGCAGAATTTATATTCATATTGCTAAATGCACTATTATTTTTACATTACCTATCTTGCTGACCTTTGCATTCAGTTTTTATTACTCAAATTAACACATGTAAACCTGATTATAGGTGAACCTCCTCTCTTTTCCCTTCTTGGGGTGGCCTTTGTACATTCAGGAGGTCTGGTCTTGCTGTCTCTCTTACACCCGTCTCCCTCAGTGCTTCTAGCCTTGCGGGCTTCTCTGTTGCTAGTAGGTGCCAGTGATCCCAGAAGAGGGACTCCCTGGGGGGCCAATGCCCTCTTTCTCCAGTGGGCCCTGGAAGAAAAGTGGTGAAAAAGAATGGTCCCTTCCTTCAACCCTCACATGGACTGGGTTGTGTAATATGTTCTTTTAAAAGTTAGGGTATTTTCTGAATAGGCAATACACACATGGTATAAATTTTAAAAAGGTAAAAGGTATGTGATAAAGGCTAAGTGACCTCCTAGCACTCTGGGAGGCTGAGGCAGGCGGATTGCTCGAGGTCAGGAGTTCAAAACCAGCCTGAGCAAGAGCGAGACCCCGTCTCTACTATAAATAGAAAGAAATTAATTGGCCAACTAATACATACAGAAAAAATGAGCTGGGCATGGTGGCACATGCCTGCAGTTCCAGCTACTTGGGAGGCTGAGGCAGGAGGACTGCTTGAGCCCAGGAGTTTGAGGTTGCTGTGAGCTAGGCTGACACCATGGCACTCACTCTAGCCTGGGCAACAAAGCGAGACTCTGTCTCAGAAATAAAAAAAAGACTAAGTGTCCCTTCTGCCCCATCCCATGACCCAGTTTCCTTCCTTGGAGATAGTCTCTGCTGCCAGTGCACAGAGTTCAGATTGTGTTTAGACTTAACCAACTCTCATAAGCAGGGGTGTTGTGACCCTCTGTGGAAGGGACACAGTGAATTGTGACAGTTGCGTCTAAAACCAGAAGCTTCCCTGGCTTTTCCTTCTTTCATCGAGACCAAGGACTGCATTGTTATCCGGGAACCTTAGAGAGTTAATTCTAAATTCAGCTATACTTGACATTATTAACTAGACTAACCAATGACGTGTATTGAATCATTTATCTCTAATCCCACTATGCTTTATTTTCCATAATGATCCAAAGCATATATTATAATTGATGGTAAAGATTTGCATTTTTGATTGTCGTTTAAATATTTTTTCAGCAAGAAAACTTAGAACATTGGATCGTAGGAAACAGCCGTACCTAAGAAAAGGAAGAGAGCATGCTTACATTTAATTTCTTTTGACATTTTCATAGGCAGACTAATGGCCTCGTAAATACGTCTATGTCCTCTTCCCCAAGACCTGTGAATGTGTTGGGCTACGTGACAAAAAAGAATGTCGCTAATCTCCTGACTTTAAGATAGGGATTATTCTGGATTATCTGGCTGGACCCAGTGTAATTATAGGTTCCTTAAAAGTGGACAGAGGAGATAGAAAAAGGAGAAACAGACAGATGATGGAATGAGAATGACTTGGCCCAGTGCTTGGCTTTGAAGACGGAGGAAGGGGCCGTGAGCCGCAGCAAGTGGGCAGCTCTCGCACCTGGAAGCGGGAAGGCTCTGTTCTCTCCTCTGCACCCACAGAGGGAAGGGCTGCGCGGGGGCCAGCGGGCACCCTGATTTTAGTTCAGTAAGATTCATTTTGGACTTCTGACTTTTGACTTCCAGAGAACTCTGAGATACATTTATGTTGTTTTAAGACACAGATTGTTTTAGTTTGTGGTAGTTTATTACTGCAGCAATCGGAAACGAATTTGGTTTATTTATTTATTTACTTACATTTTCCGAGGGGAAATGGGTCTATCTCCGAGAGTGGAGAAGACCGTGGATTTGGCTTATTAGCAAATAGTTTCCTCGTTTTGCTTCCTGGGTTATCCTAAATATACTGTAGAAAATGTCCTCTAGATATTTGCAAAATAATGGTGACTCCACAAAGGCCACTGTAGGCCCAACTCTTGGCTTCACCATTTCCCTTTAATGAAAGAGTATCTGCTTCGTAGAGGACGATTCAGTTTCTTATTTCATATTTTGTTTTCTCAAAGAGGGTCGTTAGGTTATTCTCTTTGCATGCCAGTTTCTTTGGTCACTCTTGGAATTTTCAGAAGGGAAACACAAGGTAAAAGGAAATGCAGGGACCGTGCACAGGGAAGTCACTTTAAAACAGATGGTGGTGTTGTGGAAGAGATGTCAGTTGCTAAATTGATTGTTTCCCTTATAAGTAATGTACAAAATTTCTAAGCATTAAAATTGAAATTTTTTCTCCAGGCAAAAATCTATCTTTAGTCAAATTACCTGATGATTTTTGAACCTTTAAAAACTTAATAAACTTTTTTTGTTTGTTTGAGACAGGGTCTCACTCTACTGCTCGGACTAGAGTGCTGTGGCATCAGCATATCTCAAACTCACAGCAACCTCAAACTCCTGGGCTCAAGAGATCCTCCTGCATCAGTTTGCCTAGTAGCTGGGACTATAGGCGCACATCACCACACCTGGCTCATTTTTTCTTTTTTGTAGAGATGGGGTCTTGCTCTTGCTCAGGCTGGTCTCGAACTGAACTTCTGACCTCAAGCGACCCTCCCACCTCGGTCTCCCAGAGTGCTAGGATTATAGGTGTGAGCCAGGATTAGAGGCGTTTTAGGTCTATAGAAAATTGAGCAGAAAGCACAAAGAGTTCCCTTATACCCCCTGGCCCACCCTCCTCACTACCTCATCTGCCCTCCTCTCCCCCTGCTTTTTTCCTCCTCTCTGCTTGCCTTTAAAATGCTAAAGTTTCCAACCTCACCTTTGGAAAAACAGCTTCCACATCAGAAGGGACAGTGAGTTGGGTAGCAGCCCAGGGTGGCACCTGGTGCCTCCTTGGGTGTTTGTGTGGGGAGCCAATAATTACTGAGACTGAATTTCTCATTGTAAGGCTGGTGGCGGCCCCCCTCCCTTCCCTAGATACAAAAAAAAACCACAAAGGCTCACCAAAACTGCCAGGCCCCGCTGAGACAAACCACCCCCAGATTTGCACCAGGAAAAGAAAGTTTCCGCTCCTGAATTCCACAAATACCTCCAGCCCCTCCTATTTCTCAAGGACCACCCAAGATCACAATGGAAATCCCAGCTCTTCCCACCAAAAGCCCCTAGCCAGGCCCAAAGGGTATAAAAGGCCTCAGCCCCTTCAAACGGGGCGACTTCTGGGCCCCCCCTTGTGTCCCCAGAACCTTGTCCAGGAGTGTATAATAAAGCCACGTGGTTTGGCTCCCACACTTTCTCTCTGTCTGTCTTTCTTTTCAAACCTTACACTCATCACCCCCTGGAATGGGTTTGTGAGTCAGAAACAAATTACTTCAGGTAAATAAATGGGTATTTCTTGTGCTCCTGGGTCGGTGGGCTTCGATTTGTAGCCATCCACTGCATCTGGTCCATCAAAGAACTAGAATGGGAAAAGATTAGAGCTTAACTTCTAACTGAAACTTAGAATTTCCTTCAATTTTAAATGGCAATGAACCAACCTTTGTAGTATTTTTTTTTTTTTTTTGAGACAGAGTTCACTCTGTTGCCGGGGCTAGAGTGCTATGGCTTCAGCCTAGCTTATAGCAACCTTGAACTCCTCGGCTCAGGAGATCCTCCTGCCTCAGTCTCCCAAGTAGCTGGGACTACAGGCACGCACCACCATGCCCAGCTGATTCTTTCTATAATTTTAGTTGGCCAATTAATTTCTACGGCGTCTCACTCTTGCTCAGGCTGGT